GCGATGATAATGATAGCAAAGTCCAAGTGATCAATATCAAACTAACGAACAAGAAGGTAGACGGAAGAACAATATATGAAGAGGAACATATGGTGAAACAGCAAAGAGCGTTTATTGTATACGTTAGAGCTTTTGTAAGACTAAAAATGACACGAGGCTGCTAATGGACTAGTTCGACAATACGGTGGCTATCTTAGCAGGAAGCATTTACATGAATAGATGCATTACGTTGATTTTAGCTCCAATTAAAATTCAATGGTCGCAGTAGCCTAATTACGTCATGTGCGTTCGGCGAAGTGCATCATGGTATTGGTTAAAGTTTGAAGATGGCGGATTTTTAAAAAAATTACCATGGAGGACGAAGTTTATTAACGAAATGACATAGGTCGTTCAGAATGCTTTGGTAGATATTGATAAGAAGCCTGTACAATAGAGTATGTTAAAAACCTGTTTGGAAATAATTTTTGCAGTTTTAGTGTTTGCACTAGTCTAGCTACTAGATAGATAAAGTGACTGAAGGACAGTCTGGCTGACTGATCATTACTAGGTAATTCAATAACTGACTGACTGACTTATCGATAAAGACTGACTGACCGGCCGACTGACTAACAGGCGAACTAGTTCAATAACTGACTGACCAACCGAGTGACCGACCGACTGATTAACAGGTGAACTAGTTCAATAACTGACTGACCAACCGAGTGACTGACTGACATGCCAGGCGAACTAGTTCAATAACTGACACCGAGTGACTGACTGACATGCCAGGCGAACTAGTTCAATAACTGACTGACTTACAGGCAAACTAGCTACAATCACGGACAAAACTGTTGAGACATTTTGCAAACTTTCGCGTTCGTATTCCTTTTTTCGTTTCGCACTCTCCCCTTCCCCCACAGTACAATGTTGAATGGTGTCTACAATGTTGTTCAGGATTCGAGCATCCCAGAAAAAAAAGAAACTTTGCACTGTGGGGGGAGGGGAGGGCGAAAAAATATCGTGTTGTTTGAGTCGTATACAAATGAGTATATTTTTGCGCGCGAAAATGTAATGTCTGAACGAGTTTTGTCCGTGATTGTAGTTCAACTAGACGATCAGCGATCGTTTACATGGGCTTCCTGTGGTTTATCCCAATCAGTAAATGATATTGAACCCTAATGAAATTAATATCACTAAGACAACAGCAAAAAAAGATTTCCTTTAATGAAAAATAATCAAACAAGCAATGTACTTAGTAGAATTTAATAATACTGTGAAAGAAGTAATTTAT